CTCTCTTGCCCCAGAGCCCCACCCCAGCCTGCCCTCTGACCTTTGATTCCCAGGAGATCCCCACAGCCCCCCGGAGGCTCCCCCCGCATGCCGTCTTCCCAGCAGGACTCAGATGGTGGTAAGCGTGGAGCCGGGCCCGTGGGACTGGGGCCGGGCAGAGGACAGGCCCCTCTGAGCTAGCTCAGTTTCCCTCTCCTGCTCTCTCTGCAGCCAACAGTGTGGCCAGCTATGAGAACGAGGGTGCGTCAGGGACCCCGGCGGCCCTGGTTGGGAGGAGGCTGGGGCCTGTCCTGGGCTCTGCTGACCCTGTGTCGTTACCCACCCCAGAGGCAGTCTGTGAGGATGCGGACGAAGATGAGGATGAGGAAGACTATCCCGAGGGCTACTTGTGAGTGGCCAGGTGGGAGGTGGGAGCTGAGGCTGGGGCTCCTTGCTCACCTGCTCCTTGGCTTCCCTCAGGATCGTGCTTCCTGACAACGTCCCGGCCACTGGCGCCACCGTCCCACCAGCTCCTGCGTCCAGCAACCCTGGCCTCCGAGATAGCGCCTTCTCCAGTGAGTCAGCCATCTGACCACTCCCCGCCCCTCTGTGCTGCGGCCCCTCGGCTCTTCCCTCTCCTCCTGGATGTTTGCTCCCCCTCCATTTTCTCTCTTCTCTCTTTCTAGCACTTCTGTCCTTCAGATCGGGGGACTTCCGGCTCCGATCGTCTGATTTCCTTACCTTTTCTCTTCTCTTCCCTCCTTGTCTTTTGCTTTTATTGTCTGCAAGATTTCCTTGACTTTATTCTTCTTTTGAGTCTGTGCTTTCATTTTGTCTTTCTTGTCCAAAAGCCCTTTCTTCATCTCTGAATGTTCCTTTTTCGTAGTCTCCTATCTTGTTTCACAAAGGCAATATCATCTCGTAAATCTCTAAGGATATCGATTATAGGTCGTCTTTTTTGGGTTTCTTTGGGAAGTTTTCTTCTGCTTCCTGTGTTGTTTCATTTTCCTTTGGGCTGCTTTTCTCTCTTCGTTTTGGTTCCATCCTGCCTGTTGGAGGCTTTTCTAAGTGTCTTGGGATCATCAGTGTTCCGTTCCTCTCCTTCCTCTCTATACTTGCTCTGGGTCTTGACTTCCACACCCTGGCTTCATGTGCCATCCTGATTCTCAACTCACGGCCTCTCTCTTGAGCCCCAGACCATCTGTCCAAGTGCTTATTTTCATTCATTCATTCACTCATTCAGTCATCCATCATATTTACTGGGTGCCCCTGATATAATCACGTCTAATGAGGTAGAGTTGTGATTAAAACAGCTAACATTATTGAGGGCCTACCACATGCCCTACTAAGAGTTTTATGTGTATTAACTTACTAATATTAAACGTCGCAATTCCCAGGGGCTTTTGAGCCTGTCCCTTCCCCTCCTGCCCCACACTTGTCCCATCTGTACAATGATTTGTTTATTTAACAGAAACTTGGCAGCACTTACTGTATGACAGGCCTTATTTTAATTCACCGTTTTCACAACACTCCTGTGCGGTGGGTACCGTTCCTCACCCTATTTTACAGATGAGAAAACTGAGGCCCAGAGCGGTTAGGTAGCTTGCCTGAGGTTGCACAGTTAGTTAATGCTGGAGCTGGACTTGAACCTGGGCAGTCTGACTCCAAAGCCTGCCTTGTCCACATCCTCAGGGAGAAATAAGTCAACACATGAAAGAATAAGATGTCGTCGATGGCGCTAGGCGCTAGGAAGGGACAAGGACAGGAGAGGGGGGTCAGGGCAGGCCTGGCTGAGGAGGAGGGGCTGGCGGGGCTGATGACGCCTCTGACTCGGCCCAGCCGGCCCGCGTGTTGTTTCCTTCCGCACACGTGTCGCCCAGCCCCACCACCCCGAGCCGCTCCCCGTCCCTGCTCCCCCGCCTGGGGGACACGCTGGGGCCTGCTGTCTCTCCTCCCACAATTCCGTTTCCCCTAATCAATTCTGGTCAAGTTGTCCTACTTCTCTCCATCGCCACCCGCGTGGCAGGTCCGGACCACCCTCCCTGCCTCCCTCTGGGGCTGACAGTGGGGATGGTCTCTGGGAGTCTGCGTGTAGGAGCCTCGGGCTGGTTATGTCGAAAGTCTTTGGGGGCTGCGGTTGGGAGCCTCTGGGTGTCTGCCTCAGGGGGTCTGGGTAACAGTGCGTGGGCGCCAATGCTTTTCCTGCAGTGGAGTCGGGGGAAGATTACGTGAATGTCCCTGAGAGTGAGGAAAGCGCGGATGCATCTCTGGGTGAGTGGCTGGGGTCTGCCTTCCCTCCTCTCTCTCGCGCCCCCCCACCCTATCCTCACTCTCATTCCGGCCTTGAGGGTGCCCACCGCCCCCTCTCTGGCTCCCTCACCCTCTGCCTGGGTGTCCTCCTCCTCTCTCACCCTCAGTGTGGCCTGCCCCCCTTTCGGTATGGCCGTCCCTCCTTCTGACCTGTCCCCACAGATGGGAGCCGGGAGTACGTGAACGTGTCCCAGGAGCTGCCGCCCGTGGCGAGGACCAAGCCTGGTGTGTGTCGGGGGAGGTAGGGAAGACGCTGGGGGAGCTGCCTTGGAGGAGGGCGGGATGGCCTGTCAGCTGAAGACCAGCTTCCCTTCCCTCGCAGCCAGCCGGAGTTCCCAGGAAGTGGAGGGTGAGGAAGCTCCAGACTACGAGAATCTCCAGATCCACTGAGGGCCCGGTGAGAGGCCCGCCCGGCCCGGCCCTGCCCTGGACCTGCGGGCCCTCCCCGCCCTCTCCTCTCTGAGTCTGGGGCCCCTGTGGCCGCCAGCGACCTCCTGACCTTGTACCCCTCCCTCTGTCCCTGTCCTGCTGTGTTTCAGTGGGAGGCCGTGTGGGGTCTGGAGCCAGCCTTGGCTGGGAGTGCTGAGCTGGGCAGCCGGCAGCGGCTCTGTGGGACCCCACTCGGCACCCCGCCCCGCCTCCAGCCTGACGACAGCCTGAGAACTTTCCCCCTAACTTATTGTCACTTCGGGGTCCCGTCTGTGTGGCCCCAGTACTCTGCACCTTCTGACGCAGCCTGAGAACAAGCCACCCTGGCCCCAGCCCTGCTCTGTAACAGAATAAAGGCTGCTGTGGTCCGTAGTGCTCTTAGCTTTGGGGGGCCCAGTGGGTCGGAGTCAGGGTGAGGGTGGGCTGTGTCCGAGGTCCTGAGTGTGTGTGTGTGTGTGTGTGTGTGTGTGTGTGTGTCTGTGTGTCTGTGTGTCTGTGTGTGTGTGTTTATGGGTCTCCATCCTCTCAGACCCTCTGTGCTCCCGAGGGTCCTGACCAGGTATGTGTGAGTGACTGAACGAAGCCTGGGACACGTCACCTTCTGAGTGAGGCAGTTCTGAGCCCAGCTGGCACTCCTGGGGCTCAGGTGCATCACCTCATGAGATAGTCCTTGGAAGTGGCAGACGACAGCCGAGGTGATGGGAGAACAGGGCGTGGGGAAGCGCTGGGTGGGCGTCTAGAGCAAGACCCTTCCCCACTGGCCCCTGGTTTCTCCATCTTTAAAACAAGGGGGTGGACTTGATGGCCTCAAAGGGCTTGCTTTTTTAAAAATAAATAAATAATTAATTAATTTTTGGCCACATTGAGCCTTTGTTGCTGCTCACGGGCTTTCTCTAGTTGCAGCGAGCGGGGGCTACTCATTGCAGTGGCTTCTCATTGAGGAGCATGGGCTCTAGAGCATAGGCTCAGTAGTTGTGGCACACGGGCCCGGTTGCTCCATGGCATGTGGGATCCTTCCGGACCAGGGCTTGAACTTGTGTCCCCTGCATTGGCAGGCAGATTTTTAACCACTGTGCCACCAGGGAAGTCCCTCAAATGGCTTTCTTAATTCTTACTTTTTATGGTTCTTAATAAAACAGAACTTTAAAAATTGTCTAAGCAACTGAAAAAGTTAACGGGCAGCACAGTCCTCTTCAGACTTGACTTAGAGATGACTTACCTGGGGGTTTTGCGAAAATGCAGATTCTGATTCAGTCCATCTGGGATGTAGCCTGAGACTCTGCATTCCTAACGAGCTCCCAAGTGGTTCTACTGCTGCTGCTCCAAGACCCCCCCTCTGAGTAGGAGGGTCTGGTGGATACCCTGGTCATTGGGACTGACCCCTGTGCGGGCGTGTGACAACCTGGCCAGAGTGAGGCCCAGCGCTGGACATGGGCAGGAAGTGTCAGGAAAGAGAAGCTTTTTTTTTTTTTTTTGCGGTACGCGGGCCTCTCACTATTGTGGCCTCTCCCATTGCGGAGCACAGGCTCCGGACGTGCAGGCTCAGCGGCCATGGCTCACGGGCCCAGCCGCTCCGCGGCATGTGGGATCTTCCCGGACCGGGGCACGAACCCGTGTCCCCTGCCTCGGCAGGCGGACTCTCAACCACTGCGCCACCAGGGAAGCCCAGGAGAAGCTTTTTGTTCATGACAGTTGTGAAGCTGGGAGAAAGTGGTCCTGGAGCCCCCACCTGGAGAGCGTCCCAAGAATGAAGCCAGCATGGAAGAGACGAGGCCTGGAGGCAGGCAGGCCTGGCTTCCTGGCGGTGTCAGCATGCCTGGATCCAGTCACACCTGAAGCGAGACATCCCCTCAGACTTCTGGTTACTTGGGCCAATAAATGACCAATTTTCTTCAACCAGCTTGATTTGGGGTTTCTGTCACATACAACCAGAATAGTCCTGAGCGGGATACAAAGTTGTTGGCGTCCTCTGGCCTCCAAAGGTAATAGCAACAGCTCCTCTATGGAGCGCCTGCCACATTTCCGTGCTTATTTCATCATTGTCACGCCCCTGTTGTCAGTTACTGTGCATATCCCCATTTTGCAGGCGAGGAAACACAGGCTCAGAGAGGAAAAGTGATTTGCAGTGGCAAATCTGGGCTGAGATCTGGGCCTGTTAGCCTCCAGAGTCATTGCCGCCAGCACCCTTGCTCTGGGTGTTGTATTAGGTGCCGCTGCGCCAGGCGGGGAGGTTGTGAGAGGCCTGTTGGAGAAGTGGGGGAGGGAGGTCTGGGGAGGGGTTTGGACAAGCTGGACATCAACAGGTGGCATGGTGTTTTGTTTTTTTTTTTTTTTTTTTTGGCCGATGTGCAGCACGTGGGATCTTAGTTCCCTGACCAGGGATCGAACCCACGCCCCCTGCAGTGGAAGCGTGGAGTCCTAACCGCTGGACCACCAGGGAAGTCCAGGTCATTTTATTTGGAGGAAATAGAAAAGGGCAGAGGCATCTTTATGCCTGGGCTGAGGGACAGAAACAGTTTACCAACAAGGTCATGTTGGTGCCACCACCCTGAGAATAACCTAGCGACATCAGTCAAGCTGAAGATGGTGTGTCCCTTTGCCTAGCATATCCCTGAGTATAAACCTGGACAAAGCAGCACATGGGCTAAGGGGTAGGTCCAGGGGGCTCAGGGAAAACTGTAATGGCTGACAGCGGGACACAGCTGACACCGTCACTGGGAGAGTGGACGGAGGGGCTGCAGTCCAGTGACACCGTGGAGACCCACCAGCAGAGAGAGATCAGTGGACTGGAGCAACATGTCACCTCCGATAAATATCACCAGCAGAAGGTGGAGTTAGAAAAGGAAAGCAAGTGTTTTATTTATATAAACCTAAAAACATGAAAAACCTGTACATGTTATCCAGGGATACACATATACACAAGGGTAGTAAGACAGGCAAAGGACGGAGTTCCCAGTCAGTCCAGTGGTTACGACTCCGTTCTTTCACGGCCATGGGCCAGGGGTTCCATCCCTGGTCAGGGAGCTAAGATCCCACAAGCCGTGAGGCGCGGCCAAAAAAAAAAAAAAGAAAAAGAAAAAGATAGGCAAAGGAATGAGGAATATCAAACTCTGGAGGGTGGCTACCATGGGCCAGAGGGGGAGGATACCTGGGAAGGAGTTCAGGAAGGGCCTCCATGATATGTGTAATGTCTTGTTCGTATTAAGCAGGGTTGGATGGATACAGAGGTGTATGATACGTGACTCTCTTAAGTGTTTGCATATCTGAATGACTTTGTAATAAGAAGAGAGGCCAAGACCTAAGGGGGCAGTGGATGGAGGCAGAAAAGTAGGGCAGCTTTAGGAAGCAGTAAACAGGAGGCTGAGAGGGGCCGGTCTGTCTGCGCCAAGTAGGTGAGTTGCATATGGCGCTCCAGGCTTTAGGAGCAACGTAGGCAAAGGCCCTGAGGTGGGATCAGTGAGGCGGCTCCTAGAGAGATCCACAGGAGAAATGGTGGGCTAGCTGAAGAAATGGTGGTGGCCGTGGAGCGAGGTGGTAGGATAGGGGATGTTTGGGAGGCAGAAGCAAAGGACGTGGTGATGGGTTGGCCGTGGGCCGTGAGGCTTGGGGAAGTCCAAGGTGACTCTGGGTCCTTGCCTTGGTGGATTGGGGGCAGGGTGTGCCCTGAGGCACGAAGCAGCTTCCCACTGGTGTTTCTTGGATCAGCAAGAGAATGTGGCTTTGCTTCCACCAGTGGATGAGCCAGGAGGGACAGGTAGTCAAGGCAATGAGGTCTACGGGGCTGGGCTGGGGTTCTTAGCATAGTGGGGCGGTCAGTAGGTAGAATCCCTGCAGATGAAAGCTGGGGAGCAGAAACAGATTTTTTCTTGAAGTCCGTTGTTGGAGGGAAGGTAGATTTAGTGATAAGTGAGAGAGAATGTTTTCTGGAAGTGCTGGGGAGACAATTGGGTGCTTGTAAAGGCCATCGGAAGGTAACAGCTATATTGATTTGGGGTCTCTCAGAAGCAGTCCTTGAGACAAGAGTCCCAGTGCAAATAGTTTATTTGGGAGGTGGTCCCAAACACACTGACAGGGGAGTGAGACAGGAAAGAGAAGGCAGCCAACAAAGGATGCATTATAGAGCCAGTTACCCATGTGGGCAACTGGGGCACAGCCCTGTCAGGGCAGTCTGGGGGCCTTCTGAAGTGGGTGGGTATGAGCCATCCCGCCTGGGGAGGGAGCTGGGGTATTTGTACAACCTCGTCCATTACTCACCAACTGAGGGTGGCTCCAGGGAAAGGGGGGCTGTTAATTCTCCAGAACTTCTGGCCTGCCACTCATGTGGGCACAGTGGGCACCAGTGGCCCCAGCAAGCCTGGAGCCGAGGAAGGCAGGTGCCGGCAGATGCGTGGGCCAGTGAGCCCTGAAATGGTGAGGAGGGCCACGGACAAGGCATTGACAGTGCCTGCTGCAAGAGCTCGGGTTGTTTGTGGTATTCAGTGCCATTTTTCCCGAAATGCACTGTGTGGCGCATGAGTCCGGAGAAAAGCTTCTCGTGGAAGCATTCCGCTTTCAGGAGAGTTTGGGAAAAGTGCATTCTCTAAATCCTCCTGGCCGAGTCAAGTGCACTTTGCTGAGTTCATGGCTCTGAGGGATCCTGTGAGAAAACTTTGTTTCTCTTTGCCTAATCTAGTATTCCCCAAATGTATTTGACTTTAGAACTTTTTTTAAAAAATAAATAAATTTATTTATTTTTGGCTGCGTTGGGTCTTTGTTGCGGTGCGCGGGCTTCTCATTGCGGTGGCTTCTCCCGTTGTGGAGCACGGGCTCCAGGCGCGTGGGCCTCAGTAGTTGTGGCTCGTGGGCTCAGTAGTTGTGGCGCACGGGCCTAGCCACTCCGCAGCATGTGGGATCTTCCGGGACCAGGGCTCGAACCCGTGTCTCCTGCACTGGCAGGCAGATTCCCAACCACTGCACCACCA